TTTTTTTTACTTTTTTGCTTCTTCTTTAGCCGCTACTTAGAATTTTTTTAAACATATCATTCTCATGTCCTTCCGATTATTCTCTGTTGCTGTAACGAAAGGAGCTTTTAGCACAGTTGATTGCGTTTTAGGGATAATTTAATTCATCCAGACTTTCATCAGACTAAAATATATCGATGATCGTTTTAGCCTGCGTGAACTGCTACCGAAAGAGTATGCGAAATCAAAGGATAACGAGAAGCGCATCATGGATGGGTATCGCGAATTGGCCGGGAAAAGTGAGCTGGACGCTAAAAGCAAATATGTTCATCTCTGTCGTTCGCTGCTCACTTATGGCGTCACATTTTTTGTGGTGAAAGAAAAAATGAAGGGCAAAAACAAACTGGTACCACGGTTGTTGGGTGTCAACAAGGAATGCGTAATGAGGGTGGACGAGAAGACCAAAGAGGTGTTGCAGGAATGGCCGCTGGAGCAAGTGCGGCGCTGGGCTGCTTCACCAAAAACCTTCACACTGGTAAGCATTTTTTGCATCTACGCAGTGCAAAAACACATATTTTCAGGTGGCTGTACGTGTGTGCCTATATGTTTTCCTATATCGATTTTTCATCTCAAGACCTACGAAAAGCTACAAGGCTGAAACTTTGGGAAATTTTTCTACATGCACGTACAGGCCTCTGTCCCCAAAATGGGCACCCTTGTCCACATGGTTCACACGTACGGACCGTAAGTTTTTGGCGGATGAGCCGTTAAATTGGGAATGGGAAAAATTAAAAGCTGAAATTTTAAAAAGATTTTCCCCGTTTGCGTAGGATTTAGTGAATTAAAATCCAGCCCCCAGGTGTACGTGGTTCTCGCGCATGAGCTGGTGAAAATTTTCGGCGGGTATTTTGCTAACTCGGGAACCAGAAAGGCTAGAAGCTGAAATTTTAAGGGAATGTTTTTTAATAGTCATGGTAGCCAGTGTCAATCTTTTTAGCTAGAAGCATCTGCCGAAAAAAACAGTGCTGTTAGCGACAGCAACCTGCAGGGGACTGTGCAAAAAACGCATCTTTGCACCGGCAGTCAATGCACTGGCCAATTATTATCGTCTTATGTTGCACAGCAGATTCTGTAAATTGAGCTATGGAGCGAAAATGGGATATTTTGTACTATAAAATCTTACACATTGTTACAATTAATGAATTTACAGGATTTTGGTGATTACCAGGATGGTTACTATTCGGTGCAGACAGCGGACGGTGAAAAGATTGCGCAATTAATTGCTGGCTATATTGACATAATTTTACGGAAGAAACGTACGCGTGATCACGTGGGCATTGAGGTGAGATCCTGGACATGCACCGAGTTTTACGTTGACTTTGCAGTTATACTGAATAACTTACTTGAAATGCTTTGAACTGGTATTTTTTGCTCTAGGTATTTTTTGAACTGGTCCTCCATCAATATATTTGGCAGCTTTCTAGTTATCTTGACTAATAAGGAGTATTCTGCAAAACTTTAACCGTTTTGAGCGGTTTTTGATCTGTGTTAAACACCATCATTTCCCCCGAACTTTGCTACTGCCTGGACTACAGCGGCCAGGTACCTTGCTAACTAAAAGTTGCGAAATTATAATTCATGAAAATTTAAATATTTTAGTGAGATCTTAATTTTGCTAGTTTTTTTTTTTTTTTTTGCATTCGCTGACGACTTACATAGTTTAAATGTGCAAGGTTCGATTCATTCCTTGCTGCTTACTGGTTGAGCATTGGAAAGTTTATACTACACGATTACTCGGATCCTGTTTTCTTTTTTCCGATATTTTTTTTATCGGTTCCATTAATATTCCTTCTCCAATTCGCCGTATTTTGGTACCTCCGCTATCACAAAGGGCCTGTTTTACTTCAGCATTTTACACAGTGTTACCCTTTCTTGTTTCTTTCTGGCGTACTTTTCACTTTGGCTTTGTGATGCTTCTTTTCATTACTAGCATTAATGAGTGATTCCGTTTAGAGCTGCTTCAGTCGCTGATTGCAGGGCGATGAGGGCTCGACGATGCTGGAAGATGTGGTTGCTCCAGCTCGCGCAACACTCGTAGCGCATGGACAGATCGGCGAAGGCTTCGCGCAAGAAGGAGGTGTTGCAATTCCAGGCGTACTCCGAACACCTGGCGCATTCCCGACAGCACAGCGTGCTGCGCTGAACGGTGCCCAGTACGGCGCTGTCAGTGGCCAGATTTTGCAACAACAAATGGCCAAAGTAAGCTCAGATAAAACTATTGTGAGTTTAGCGACAGATATTGTTGTGGGATGCTTTCGTGCTCAGTTCTACGCAGAGGCCTTTTTAGGGCAGGACTCTCGCCCTCTGGGCGAGAAAAATGTGAAAATGATATGAACAAAAAAGCAAAATGTTGACGAAGGGGTGCAGAATCCGACCATTAGAGATCTGTTCCGAATGGAGCTGCTCTTCAAAAATCCATCATGGCCCGAGAGGGAATCGAACCATTCCACTTCACATTGCGACGCAACGTGTTAGACCACTACGCAACTGGCTTTTGTACTTCGTCATTGCTTGAGTAGTTTTTGGTAGCTGTATTTTTGGTAGCAAAATTTGTTTTGGTATTGCCTTTTCCCAAGCCATTTCCACTCGTCTTCATTCGCTGATCCTCGAGTGAATGGGACCATCGGGAGAATTGCCAGCAACGGTCATAAGATCATTTTTTTGTTTGCAGTGCCGCACAAATTCTTTTCTCAAGTCAGAACTCAAATTATTTTCAACTTTGACTGTTATCTGCCCTTCGGCAGTCGACGTGGAATCCGCTGCTAGTGCTAGTCATTTCCAATAACTGAGAAAAAAGATCTCGTTTTAGAAAATTTTCGTTTTTTAAATAGTAAAAGCACAGAGTTCTGATACCTTCCTTTTTGGCTTCGTCTTCGAATATTGACTGTTGAAGGGACAGCGGCCGCGCGTTGTGGATTCGCAAGAACGTGCACAACGTGCTCTCATTGGTACAATTGAAGCGTCAATTCGTGCAGTTGAGGCAGCGGAAGAAGAAATGGAGAAGCCGGTGCAGATTGAATTACCACGATTCACAGACGATCCAACCTCACGTCGTTGGGTGGAAACGAAAGTTGAAGTTGAGAAGCAAAAAGTTTGTCTTTTTTCACCCTTTTTTCTTTTTTTAAAAATCTTGTACTTGGATAATTTTCTGGGCAGAGTGCCCGTATGCACACTACAAAATGGCACAAGCAGGCACTGATTTAGGAAGGTGGACAGCTACGTCTGGCTTGGACAAGTAAATGGCAT